GGCGGCGGCAGCGGCGGCCTCCCGCGCAGCAAGCGTAACTCCGTCACCTCCGAGCTCTTCCACTCGTGGCTGGCGTCGTCGCCCGTCAAGAAGGCGCGCTCGCCCTCCAGGTGAGTACAGGCGGCTGTTAGGCTACGAGTACCCGCAAAATGAGACGCAGGTCCGTGACGCAGTATAAGTCGTGGTGTGTTTCTGAAAACCACTGCTAATTGGTCCCGCGCTCGTGCGTGGTCCAATAAGAATTGGTTATCAGAAGCTCACCATGAGATACTTTGCGGCACGTCACGGACCTGCTTCTCTCATTGCGACTAGCCTTACCGGATCAGCTGGCTCAGGGCAGCAACTGATGTCCCTGTAGTATCTCTGTCCGGGAGGTCCTAGGGTACCACTTCCAAAGGTGACAGGATTTTTACACACTAGCTACATAGCCAAGTTGAGTTCCGCTGCTGACAGGAGAAGAGTTCTAGGGGCGGGTTGCTCTGATTGGTAGATTTCTGGGGTTTCTCCGATCAACACCAAGCAAATACCCGAGTCGTACCCTAACAAACGGGCCACGGACCACGCGCGATCTTTCCTTCCCATTCCCTGTCCTATCCTGCGCCTTACATAGATATTCTTACACTAACATTCACTGCACTACCACACATGACTGGAGATTGTTCGGAAGCTAAGAGATTGTCCCGTCTGGGGCGATGCCTCAATGATGCGGGATGATACGATACATAGTCTACTCCCCAGACACGAACGTATTTTTTTCTGTGGCTGTGAAATGAATACCGCTCAGTCTGGGACTTGTGTTGAGTACAGATTAAGCAACCGCTTGAAATTGATAAAAATGGATGTTTCTTGAAATCTCTCCCCGGGGGAAATGTAATTCGTCTGGGATGTTAAGCTGATTTCATAAAATCCACCATTATCGAATAATCAGTATAAGTCACACTGTCAATGTAGTGATTTTGACTTGTACTGACTGTCGGGTTGCTCCCGATTCTAATGTGATTTACTCGCCTCCACTCTCAGCTACTTCTTTCGCGATCCTATTGCCGTACTTCAATCGCGTTGGCAATGCGACTTAGTCTCTGTCACGTGGTAAATTAATACATAAAAACACTGCTTGGCGTCCTCGCTGAATTCAGGAGCTAAATATTTTTTTCATATATATTCTTAAATTAGTTTATTAAATTGTATATGTATATATTGCAGATTAATCGTAATTTTGTTTAAATATGTTCTACACTACTTGATGATTCAATAGTTTGGTCATAATTACGGTCTCAATTTATAAATCCGACCCTGCTCAGATGCCTGTTGCAACTCTTGATATTTGCGACTTCACACTTGTCAGCAGCTGATCCAGCAACGTTCTTCTCATTCACTCAGATCTATTGGTCTACCTTCATCACGTGGGTTCAGTTTTTTTTAATAAAACGGCGGATATTACGACCTACTTATAAGTTCTCAGGAATCTCTGCGCTTTGCTTCCGATTTGCTGGGCCCAATGCAATATCCGATGTTATGAGCCAACATTAGAAATCTCATTAGGCTCGTTGGTTGGGAAAATTAATTCTGTTGACATTATAATCTTTTACAAGTTACATACTAACCGTAACCTCTCTGTTTTTTGTTTTCCAGACTTTTAAAATGTATCGATCATTTTCGAGAGCAAATCTTCGGAAGTGTTGCTTTCTAATAATAAAAATAATAATAATAATAATAATAATAATAATAATAATAATAATAATAATAATAATTATTATTATTATCATGGAAAAAAGAATAATAATTGTTAATCTGCAAATAAACGAATGCTCGGTGGCAGTTTACTAACAAGTAGATAAGAACAAATATAAAAAAACTAGAGATGCTACAACAGAACGTATTTTCTCGCGTTATTGGAAATAGTTACGTAATAGTGAAATTATGTACTTCCAGGCACACTAAAAACTCATAACTTGAAAATTTCAATTAAAACTAAGTGCCTGTGTCAGTGGTCCTTTCTAACTTTTACAAATGAAACAAACATGAATAAATTTAACTATTACAGTATTTGTAGCACATATAGAAAAAAGAATAATATTCCCCGAAAACTTTCCTTGATAATTTTGAAGTGAGCTAACAAATTCGGAATACCGTAATAAGCAATCAAAACGTCTTTACGTAAAAGACATGTATTTATTAGTTATGCTTTAATTCTATTACCTTTTAAATCTAATTCCTTTCGTTAAAATATTATTTACATAGTACAATTATTAACACGACGGGCAAAAATCACATATTCTAAAATTTTCCAGCCGCCATATTGCCGTTTTGCGAACGCCATTGTGAAAACGCGTCCAAACGAAGAGTGGGATATTCGAATGTACCATTTACATTTTTTGTCTATTTTCGAAAATACAGAGAGTGCGACGAAAATGAGACTACTTTCTGTTCACCATTTTAAGTATGCTACATTCGTGAAAAAATAATTTTAAAAATTTTGAACCGTTTCTAAGTAAATTATTGTTTAAAATTTGAAATTTGCCTATATTTCACGCAAAATTATGCAAAAATACTCATGTTCAAAAAAATGAATATGATCTCATTTGAAGATCTGTTTCTGATAAACACATTTCGTTAAGAAAAAAATATCTTCGTAATTGTAGTTGTTGTAAGACGCCAAAAAAATTTGAATTTTTTGTGTTTTCAAAACATCAGGGATTTCAATGAAAAAGAGACCTGCAGCATTCCCTTAAGAGTTCTTTACGCTATCCAAGGTTAAAATTTAATCAAAATAGTCGACTCAATTTTTTAAATTTTTTAAAGTACCAGGGACTTCTTGTGAAGTAGCCTCCAAAATTGAAATACCGGATTCAAATTCAAGGGTCCGCAACATCAGACATGGATTGGGAAATATCAATTTCGATGAAAATCTTACTGACGGTTTCGCTGCTGTTGTTGATCACAGACAGACGAAGGGACTTTCCCATCAATCTATTTTTCAGTACCGACTCACAAACCATTGGAACTGACTACACACATTGTTCGAGGAAGTAATTTAGTATATGTAGGAACAAGATTTATTTCATTTTTCATTACCAGAGCCTAGCAATTTAAGTTTTCCTGTCGGAAATTCCGCACCATTACAATATTTCCTCTGCACTGCTTAAGCAGTTCCGAGAATGTAGTAAATATGTAAATATGAATTGTCATAACTTAATAATTTTGTGATTCTGTATTAATATTGAATAGTTTTTCTCATGACAACGTTAAAATGTAAAGTACTGAGAACTAACATATCTTACAGCTTCGAACTCATCATTTGTCACGCAGATCTAGAACAAGTGATGGAAACCTAGTAATTTTTAAAAAAGTTCTTTTTCATTTCATTTAGAAATTAGATTGATGAAATAATTCAAAATTGAAGTTTCAATATGTTTCAATAATGAAATTATGTTTTTCATGCAAATAATTATCTTCTAATAATTTTGAAGTGCTGTTCGCCATGAAAATGCTCGTCTTATAATTATATTTTTGTCCCAACGCTCATAAACAGATTTCCCGATATCTGATAAATTTGCATGATTCCTGTCCTACTCGTGTGACTCACCGAGATTGAGATTTTGGAACTGATTTACATAACTGAATGAGAACCGATCTGTCGTCACAAAGCCTCCAGTGATTTGCATTGCGAGTTTGGGCTCAGAACGAAATCCATTCTCCTAAGCTTCTGTTCACCGTCACTCACCGTATGTTTGAAGGAAATGGATCTTCCACCTGAAGTGAATGTCAAACATAATAATTAAAAAATTAATTTGTCTGAAAACTATGTAGTATAAGTAATATTGAGTATATAAATGTTTAACTATTCTCTAAATGCCAAGAGAATTGTTACGTAATCACTTACCTTTGCATTATATTACGGCACATCATATGAAAATACTTTTTAATTTCTTTTCCAAGGTGGATATCACACATTTTATGTGATGTTAAAAATTATTGTCAATTAATAAACGAATCGATGTACTGACATCAATATTGTAGAAAATAAGAAAATTTCTAAATTTTTAATTACTTTTCAACTCTGAATATATTTGTAAATCACTAATTACAGTCGTACATTTCTACTGAAATCGGTCGGATCTAAGAATAAGCAAAATCAATAATATTTTGAAAATTGATGTGAAATTATAAATCGCTTTTTCTTATCTTACTTTAAAATTGAGATAAAGCACACTATTACATACGTTTATTGCAGAACTGCAAATTCTGTAACGTTTTCACTCGTTAAGTGAGTCCCTAATTCTGTAACGTTTTTACTCGTTAAATGAGCCCTCTGCATAATTGCATGGGCATTTGAATGAAGCACTTGAATGACATTGGGACTACAAGCCCATGAGATGTTTGTGAATGAAGTACCCCGATTCATGCACACTCTGCTATGTTGTCATTATTGTTTACACGCATTCAAAGAAGGTATGAAACTCGTATTTCTGGTCATTTATTTACAAACGGAAGTTGGTAGTAGCGGTTGAATAATTTTGCCTTGAACCTCAGATTATGTTTTCTATGCACTATGTTGGTGCTCTCCCACTCTCGGTTCATTCATAGTACGTTTATAAAGGTGGAAAATATATATACCTATGTTTCAACCATCTTAATGGTAAATTCTTTTTCTATGTTCTGATTATACACTATATTCATATATAGAAAAATTACGTTATCAACCATAACTCAAGTAAAAATTATAATACCATACCATTATACCGCTAAATATTCTGTTTACGATTCATTTTGTCTAAATTTACTACCTTTAAGTCATTGGCTTCCGTCGTAAGCTAACGTAATCGGTTCTGTTTGCGATTTTTTCTGCAACGTCCTAATAAAATTTTCTGTGCTTTTGATAATAAATATAATTAGAAACATTGAGAAATATCCAAGAATCGTTTTGAGTATAAATTTTTCGTATTATAATTAACAATACCTGCCACATAATCGCACTTTCAACATATTTCACAACTGTTCAGCTGCAAGCAACGTTTAATCTTCACTGATTAATAGTAATAGCATCATTCACTTATCTAGCATCACATATTGGTGATAGATGAACCTTACATCTGCTCAGTTAGTCATTGTAGTAGAGCGATTAAAGAACAAACGCTCTTACCCGGACAATTTTTCACATCTGATTACCGTATACACTTGGTTCCAATTGTGTGAGGGCAACTTTCCATATCTGACTACTTACCTTATGCACGACTTAATCGACAGGTACTGAATCCATAGGTGCTGAATCCACAACTTCCGGACTTGTATCACATTACAACCGCTTCGTTTTAACGCAAGTGCTGGACTACTCGGGCTGACTCTTACGGCTGTCACAGACCAACGCCTACTTCAGTAAAATTTGACTAAACAGGAACCTCTACAAGCCGGAATCCTGCCCTAACCTGAAAATTTCTCTAACCCGTGACGTTATGTGATATTTTACACTGCATAAAACGAAATCTGTCCAACGCGAGAACGAAACGGTTTTTCATGTGCTTTAGGGGGGATCTTTATAAAATGGAATTACTGCGAATTTAATGCGAATGGCAGAGACGCGGGATATTCTTAATATAATGAATGCATCTGCAAGTCTGTTTTAAATTCTCTATCCCACCCAATTTAGTCGTGGCAACCGCACTGTGAAGGTGAGGGGCTTGAGCTGATAGCGTAGAATTCGACCTTGGGGTCTCTTACCTCTCAAGGGAAGCAATTCTCTTTTCTCTCAGAAGTTGTTAATGAAGAACGCTTAATACTCAATTATAGATGATTCATTCCATTAATACGTTATATGCGAATGTATTTTAATATCCATAATGAAATAATGTAATTTTTACTCCACTTTTACTTCTGTACTAACATTAATTTACTATTTTCGTAACGGAAATATCAATATCACAAGTGGACAACCCTGCACCGGATACCTCCCTAAACCGGAACTTTGTTCTCCTGATGGATTCCGGCATAGACAGATATTACTGTAAAACGTTCGCCGCACAGGGCTAGTAGGAGCGACCAACTACTGACAGAATCAAATTTCTTTTCAGACCATCGATTTCACGTCCAACGCCAAATTCATTCATATTATTGTACGATTTTAAAAGTATAAAATGATTTTTTATTCCCATCTCTATTGAACAGGATTTTAATCGTTTTAACAATAAAGTCAATTGACCTCTCCCGACTTTTGGGATATACAAACCGGTTAAAAGAACTTGTCGTTCAAAAACTCTACCTGATATGGAATATATCTTGATAAGCGAAGAGAATGGAACAAGATAAGGCCCCTCTGGTATCACAAAGGGGATTTTAATTACATGTTGTGCGATACCCTTTGTGATGGGCGCGATGTAGTGATGACCTTTTATTGCAACCCTTTTAGAATTGCTGAACCAATAAATAGGTTTTTCGCTCTCAAAGTATTCTGAGAAAGCAAGGCCCTGTATAATTCATTAAACGTATTCACTGGGAAAACTTGCACTCATTTTCTGATAGCAATTTTAAATACTTGTGTTACTTATTGATTTTTTTATGAAAACAATGTAATTTGAAAATTTATATTCGACTTATTGAAGACGAGCCTACGATTAAGTTAGCACATTATATCAGATTTTTAGGGTTTACTATGTTGTCTGGCAGCACATAATAAAAAAAGCGAACGGCGATACATGATAAACTCTCAACGAGTTGCGGTTGCACTGCAGTAGGAATACAGAACAAAACCACCCGAAGATGACGCATCAAGTTGTCAACACGGTTTGGAAGACGTTTATGCTTCAACTTTGGCAAAGGTTGTGAACATGTATCAAGATGTGTCATCGCCAGTTCGTAGTGTTAAAATTTTTGAGATTTCATTTATGTCATGTTGGTGGTGACATGTGTGTATTAATATTTGGTTTATTAATGTGTGAAACTTTTTGATTTGCTAATACGCTGAGGATAATGCAATTGTCGTCGTGTAAACGATTTAGTTAGGGGTGCTGGACCATGACCATTCGAACCACGACTGCCGACTCAAGCTGCGTCAGCCTTAACACCGCCGATTTCACCACCAGATAGGCCGTTTACATGCTAATGTCTTTACCAACATTTTTATTTCAAACTATTGGAGCTACAATATCACGTACTTTCTCGTATTATTTATACATTTGAAAGTTTCGAAAATGTAGAGAATTCAACGAAAACGAGACCCACAACTTTCTTTTTGGAGTCTTGTCTTTTATCAGTGGAAAAAATACACAACAAATTGAAGCGGTTTTTTAGAAAAAAATTTCTGTCATAAATTGTCTTAATTTCGAGCACAGTTGACGCAAAACCTACTTTTTTCTATAAACTTTTCTCTTTTCCGCTAATACTGATCCACTAATACCAGTAGCGGTAGGGGCCCGCCATCCGCGCTTGTAAGAATAGCAAGAACACACTGAATAGGTGGTCTCGTCTGCCTCTTGTAGTGTTGGCAATGAAAAATTTGGTTAAGTGCCTTGGTGACCACACCTGGATGACGAGATTGTCTTACAAGGCGTGAGGTGCATTGAAACGTAAAGACAACTCAGACACTAAATCAATACGATTTGTTGTCTGTGAGACAATGGCGGTCCAAGATTCAGTGCCCCACAGACTGTAGCGCTGCACTAACAAATCGTACCAGGTAATTTGGAGGAAATTAAGGTAGTTGGCAATTGCTTTTCTCACCCAAGCTTAGCCCGTCCTTGTGAACGAGTCCCAACCGTGGCAGGAGTTCGAATTCAGTCGCTGTCTGGAGGAGAATTCTTGCGGCCGGCTGCTCTGATCGGTAGTTTTCTGAGATTTGCCGATCAATACCAGGTGAATGCCGGAGTAGTACCCTAACCAACGGGTAACGGACCGCGCGCGATCTTTCCTTCCTCTTCCTTATCCTATCCTCATCCCTTACTTACACCCACTTACCTCTACATGCACTACACTACCACACATGCCGGGGAGACAGTGGCAAGCTTAGAGACTGCTCCGACCGAGGTGGTGGGAGATACCTGGGTAGGGAAAATTCCGCAAACTGACGGATAGTTCGGCGCCGGCTCGACCATCGAGCGATGGTAGATCACCGCCATCGTCCGTGATAAAACATGTGCTACACTTACGGGACAAATGACATTAACAGTTTATGCGCCCGAATCATCAATCAATCAATCAATTAATCAAACAAACTTACACTGCACAGACACCTTTGTGTAATTCCTTTCACGAATGGCATTCCTCGGCCGCACTCATACACTGAGTAGTCTCTCTATTACTCATCTAATACTTTAACTAATATTTTAAGGAGAGAGGTACACCTTTGACTGACATAAATTTGGTGAAATTCAACATTTTTTTCTCAGAGTTTGACATCCAGACAATTTTTTTGTGTTTGTTGTTAAGTAGTCATTCCAAAGCTGCATTACATATTTCAAAACCTCCTAAATTTTGCAATTGGAAAGGTTTTAGACAATACAATTTTCATTTTATAAATTTTCACTTGATTTTTACATTTAGTTGGTTGTCATGACTTATATCTACAACATTCACTAGCTTTTAATTTCTGTCACTTGGAAATATTTTTCTCAATTATTTTCATTAACACATATTTTTACAAATAGTTTCCTTTATAATATTTAAAAAAATGTATTAATAATCTCAGAGGTAATATTCAAGTCAATGTTGTTCATATACTCTACATTAGTGGGCCAAATTTCACTTGTGTGTCTGAAACAGTGTCTGAAATTTTGAGTTATTATACAAATCATTTCAAAAAATCTAATCTATGGGAAATGAGCTTTGAAGTTAAGAAAGCATTTAGGTCAATTACAATGCTCCAGGAGCGTAAATTAAACCCTCATTCTGTTTCTTTCTTTCTTGCTTCTTCTTCCAATCTCAACTTCTTCATACATTTTTTTTATTTCTTTTGTTGCTTGTAGGGTTATTACTCGTTTTACCTAATTTGAAACACTTGTCATGCATGTCACAAAACAAGTGACATGATCGGACGATTCGAGACATGTCTCAAGAATGAGAAAAGATAATTGAAAAAGTCTTTCACCACATTAAAGAGAAACTTCTATTACAGAAAGAAAATAAATAAATTGAACAATGCAATTTTTTGATCCTTAAAATTGTACCTCCGCACTTAAGTAATAAAACTGTTGTGAAAGACCTGCCAATTGTCGTATTCCAACGCTAACACTCCGTCCCCAGTCGCCCAATATTCCGCGAGTGGTTTCCCGCCCCGCCTGCGGCGACATGAAGTGAAACATTTATTTAACTAAGAAAATAATAAATTGAAAAATGCAATATTTTGATTATGTACCTCCCCTTTAAGTAATAAAACTGTTGCGAAAGACCTTCTGCCAATTGTCGTATTCCAACACTAACACCCCGTTCCCAGTCGCCCAATATTCCACGAGTGGTTCCCCGCCCCGCCCGCTGTGACGCAAAGTAAAACATCTATTTGAGAAAGAAAAAATAAATTGAAAAACGCATTTTTTGACCCTTAAAGGTGTATTTCCCCCTTAAGTAATAAAGCTGTTGCTAATGACCTTCTGCCAATTGTCGTATTCCAACGCCAACACCCCGCCCCCAGTCGCCCAATATTCCACGAGTGGTTCTCGCCCGTCCGTGGCCGACGCGAAGTGAAACATCTATTAAACAAAGAAAAATATAATTTGATAAATTGCAATGTTTTAGATGGTGTACGCGCTCCACCCTAAGTAATAAAACTGTTTGTGAAAGAACCATTCTGCCAATTGTCGTATTCCAACGCCACACCCGCGCCCAGTGCCCGCAATATTCCACGAGTGGTTCCGTCCGCCCCCGCCCGCGGCGACGCCGGAACGCCCGTCGCCGTTCTTCCGCCGGGCGCCGGGCGCCCAAGCGCGTGTGTTGGCGTGCGGCAGGCAGAGCGTGTCGGCGGGCGCGCGGCGGCGCCAGCTGCAGCAGCTGCTGCAGATGGACGAGGGCGAGCTGTTCATGGAGCTGATCCGCGACGTGGCCAACGAGTTGGACATCGACGTGCTCTGCCACAAGATCCTGGTGAACGTGGGGCTGCTGACGCGCGCCGACCGCTGCTCGCTCTTTCTGGCGCGCGGGCCACGCGACGCGCGCTACCTCGTCGCCAAGCTGTTCGATGTCACCGTCGAGACGGGTGAGCATCACCACCTACGTCTGTAATATACACGGCCTCTTATATCTTTTAATAATAAAATAAATTGTAAACATGGCCCTGCGTTTGTAAGCTTCTTGTAGGTGAGAATCTTATATCCTTTAATAATAAAATAAATTGTAAAAAATTCAAAACAAAGTGTTATAGCAAACTTAAATCGATACAGATTAACTCTCTACTATCAATAAGAGTTCCGTGTTAAATTAAATATCTTGAAAAATGTTCTACAATTCACTGTCACATCAGACGGTTGAGCATTTTCTCCTTTTCGTCACCTTTAACCTTATTTGTCAGGTACACGGCATCATATATCCTTTAATAATAAAATAAATTGTAAAAAAATTAAAATCGAATTGTTTTAGTGCACTTAAATCGATACAGGTCAATTCTCTACTTTCAATAATGTCTGAAGAGTTCCTTTTTAATTTAAACACCTTGAGTAATGTTCTCCAATTTACTGTCACATCAGACGGTTGAGCATTGCCTCTTTGTCGTCACCTATGACCGTATGTCTGTCAGGTACACGACATCTTATATCCTTTAATTATAAAATAAATTGTAAAAAGAATTAAATCGAGATGTTTTAGTTCACTTAAGTTTATACAAATTAATTCTGTACTTTCAATAACGACTGACGAGTTCTTTTTTAAATTAAATACCTTGATAAGTGTTCTGTGATTCCTTTCCAATAAGTCGTAACTGTGACATCTGACAACAAGACCAGTCCTTATGAATAGCGTCATTGATAACTGATATCGATAGTTTGTTTGACAGGCATTTGTTTATTGTAATCATCACGCATTGGCTTTTAATTTACAATAAGGTCATCATTCTTATTTAAAACGGCGAGTTTTACCTTGTATCAGATCGATCGCCTTTCATTTCTAACCGCCGGGGTTCAAATCCTGATCGATCCATTTTGAATTTGGGGCGGACAAAGCGAGTTCGTGGCAGATTTCTCGGGGTTATCCTGTTTCCTCAGTCTCTTATCCTCCCTTCTGATCCCCTGAGAATTCATATCATGTATTATCTTATTCACCCATTCATCAAGTTCATTTATGTGCGTCAGGTATAGACAAGATATAAGACACGATTTCCCTGATTATAACACGATAATATTGAATATAATGAAAACAAACATCTCACCAAATAGCTCCCACTACTTGCAAGCTATTAATTGAAATCCTTGGGTATAAAACACGGTGAAACACAATTTCAAATAACTTTTAAATTGTAAATATGAACTAAATATATATGAAGAAATATGTACTTCCAGACCCTAAAAATTCACTTATATAGTTTAGTTTTATTATCGGTGTCTTATATAAATTGACGTGTGTAAATATTCATTGAATAAAATGTTTGTTACTCTCTAAAATCTTGTAGATATTTTGCAATACAACTTTCTTTAATGGTTTATAAACTGTCAACGCGTTTTCGTCTGAGAAATATTCACCATCAGAAGAGGTGAAGAATATCTCACCTAAAATAGCATGAGTAAAAAGTATTGTGGATTAAGGGCTTTGTTTGCATAGGTCGGAATTTGATGAACGATGACGCGTGGGTCGTATACTCAGCAAATACCGGTGCAGCTAGCTCTGGGCTGAGCAACGGGTGACGTATTCTGAGAAAGCTCGTAAATCAACAACGGGGAGCCGGGTGTGGTCGTAAGGGAACGCATGCGAGAAGTTCAGTGCAAGCTGCTCAAATAAGATACACCGCGGGAATATTTCACTTGGTTGATAGGGGTCGTAAGCCTTGCACTAGGTAATAGTGCATTTTGACTTTATGCTTTCCATCGCCAGTGAATCACGTTTACGAATCTTCGAGGCTTTGAATAGGATTCGTTCGCTGTTTTACGTCACCTTAATCAATTTTGACGACGTCACACCTCGAGTTGGGAGACTTGAATTGAATTACGAGAATTATGAATTTTTGAAAGTTGCTAGGTATCAAAAATTGCAAAAAGTATAAGCGCCAAAAAATTTACATCTACTTTATCTATAACTTTATTGGTAACTGTGAACATTGTTCAAATAAGTTCCCGAGACAGGCGCCACCGGCGATCACGTGGACTTATCCTCTGAGGTAAGGAATAAGTATGACGTCAGTAACAGCAGAAGTAATTATAAAATACCTCACATCTTCTTGTACTGTAAGTTTTTGCGTCTAATTATTAGTTCTCATCAAACCAAAAATCTTACATTTTTTTGCGGTCAATGAAAATGGACTTCTGTTACAGTTTCGTCAGATCTCATTCACGACAGCTTAGGATTCTTTTGCAGCCAGTTCATGGATCTATAATTTCTCGTACGACGAGTACAATACGTTTTTACGAACTGTATTTTGTATTGTGAAAAAATAATTGTTACTGATTTAAGAAGGTGCATATGTATATAGTGAGGCCGTCATTGGGTGACTGACAGGGTGCTGACAGGTGTGCTGAGGGAGTCGCTGACTGTGTGACGGGGTGGCAGGGAGGGAACTGTTGGAGGTGCTGACGACGATGTTGTCAAAGTTTTTGACCGGGCTCTAACAGGAAGGCTGTCGGAAATCCTAACGGGGACCTGTTGGTTTCCCCGTCAGTCTGGCTAAGAGACGCTGACGGAGGCTGTAGGGGATTCAAACGGGAGCACTGTTAGGCTGACGGAGTGCTGAAGGAGATGCTGTCGGAAATCCTAATGGGAGCACTGACGAGGTTGCTGACAGGGAGGCTGACGGGGCGCTAATCAATGTACTAATGGAGGTTACCGGGGATCGTAATGAAAACACTGACGAGGTTGCTAACAGGAAGGCTGACGTGGCGCTGATGGATTGGCTGACGGAGGCTCTCGGGGATCCTAATGAGAAGAGATATAGGTCACTGACAGGAGGCTGACGGACGCTGACGGAGAGGCTGACGGAGGCTGTCGGGATCCTACCACGGAGGAACGAATGGGGTTGCCGACAAGGAAGAACTGTCGGGGGCTAATGAAGTGGGCTGACGGAAGCCTGTCGGGGATCTAATGAAAACCACTGACTGGGGTCGCTGACAGGGAGTCTGATCGTTGACGCTGATAGACTGGTCGGGATCCTAATGAAATAACACTGATCGGGGGTCGCTGGACAGGAGAATGACTTGGCGGCGATGGATTGGCTTTGACGGAGGCTCTCGGGATTCCTTAATGAGAAGTGATGGGTCCACTGACAGGGGAGGCTGACGGAGCGCTGACGGAGAGGCTGACGGAGGCTTCGGGGATCCAACGGAGGAACGGATGGGCGTTGCGAAGGGAGACTGTCGGGTGCTAACGAAATGGCTGACGGAAGCTGTCGGGGATCTAATGGAACAACACTGAGGGGTCGCTGACAGGGAGTGCTGACGTGACGCTGATAGAACTGTCGGGATGTCCTAATGAAAAACACTGGATGGATTCGCTGACAGTTCTGACGGGGCTGCTGGACGGAGTGCTGACGAGACGATCGGAAGACCTAACGGGAAGCAGCTGCCGGGGTCCTGTCGGGCTGAGGGGGGCTGTGGTGGGCGCAAGAGCTGGAGGACGCGGTGCGGCGCAGCGCGGCGCCGAGGAAGATCCGTCATTCCCGTTCGGCGTGGGCATCGCGGGCTCCGTGGCATCAAACCAAGCAGTCCCGTCAACATCCGCGACGCCTACCAGGTGAGCGCGCGACGCAGCAGGTAAGCCACGTTTCGCATTCTGTCCAAGGCCGCCTTTCCTAACACCGGTAGCGGCGTGTGGAACGCTCGTTTCGCTGAGCCTTACGAAATAATTAAAGATGTGTCATTGCGGACAATATTATTTTAATGTAAGGAGAGCTTTCGATGGCTTAGCCATCATCAATCAGTTTCTGCGGGAATGAAGCCACAAAACGACTACCTTAGTCGTACCTAACTATAACGTATTGTCGTTTTGTGGCTTCCATCCACCAGACAACTGATGATGATGGCTAAGCCATCGAAAGCTGCTCTTTACATTAAATAATTTGTCCGGCAATGACAACATCTTTAATTATTTCGGTAAGCTCCAGCCGAAAACGGCGTTCCACACGCCCGCTACCGGTGTCTAGGAAAGGCGAAGGACTGACGTTTAAGTAGGTACGACTAGGTAGTTCGTTTTGTGGCTTCATCCAGCAGACAACTGATTGATGATGGCTAAGCCATCGGAAAGCTGCTCTTACATTAAATAATATTGTTTGGCAATGGACGACAGTCATTTAATTAATTTCATGAAAATGCCAAAGATATCACACCAACACACAACCTTTATGAGCTTACCGAAGAAACGTTGGCCTCGTTCACAATGCAAACTTAAACGTAACGTAATGCCGTAAACTTAGCAGTAAATTTGAGACATAAAAACAAGCATTAACAATGAAAAACGTAAACTGAAACTTAATTTTTGCCTTAGCAAATCAGATTTCATTGTATTGAAGCTTGATCGATTGTCGATTCGTTTCTAACATTGTAAAATGATATTTCCAACATTGTTTCTAGCTTTCTCTTAGATTTTTTTTACCGATTTATATATAAATGCGAGTAGTTGTATTAGTGCTTGCTTTTCCTTTACTTTATAAACAAGGATTCTCTTGTACCACATTCAAGAGTAATTCGTCTGACGTAATTATTTTATTCGTCACGTCCTGTAAAAATCACAAGAAAAATTGCCCAAATTCTTACTTTGAATTCACTACTCGTGTCAAAACAGTTCGCAAACTAGTTCAGTACATAACAGTAATAAAATAACATAACCACCAACTACCTGAATACAATTCATGTTTGTTTCTTTCATGCTGCTCTCTGATTGGTTGTCGTTAGAATTCCGACGTAGACTTAACATAAGAGCTTGGTGCTTGAGAACTCGTTAAGTTTACGGCTTTACGTCTACGGATACGTCTAGGCATTGTGAATGGACTCGCTTAATAACTCATTTCTAGGTTTTGCGGCTTGGACATTATGTTTACATTGTGAATGAAGCCTTCGGGCTGAGCTCATGTGGAGATCGCGGGTTTGATCGTGGCAGAATGTCAGAAATTGCATTGGTACATGTTGAAGTGTGTGGAAGTTGCATTGGTGTGTTGGTTTCTGGTTGCCTGCCGGTATTCAATTTGTAGTTATATTGCTCTGGTCATTGATTTACTGGTTTCCTTTTTTAATTTTTTCCAGACGAATGCTGCATCATGATATACATTGATAAAAATAACATTAAATAATAACTACAATAATAATGAAATGACAAATATATCGTTTAAATTCCTTCTTTGAGGCTTCTTCGAAGTATTCAAAACTGAGAAGTGATTTTCTCTACTCTGAAAAAAAAAATATTATTGATTATTTTGTATTCTTATTATTGATTTGGCCATTGTTTTGCTTCCCTTTTTTCTTTAAAGTGTCACTGATACCAATTTTTTTCTTTGGAAGTCGACATGTCTTAGTATTTATAATAGTTGTAGGTGTAATTTGATTGCATTTTTCTTTTTTTCTTGACAAATATATCATGATAACGTTCTATTTATGTATCATAAGCGTGTTCTGTCAAGGTTTCAAAACAACCTTTTCATCCGGCTTCCTTAAACGATTTGTCATGCATTTTACTGAACGTATTTTTTATTTCCGCGCACTAAAACCTGCTCTTGTCGGAGTTTTTAAACTATTTTTCTTCCCTATATTTTTCAGGCTCTCTATTCAGAATATTTACTCCCTTTTTACACGATAAAAAAACCCTTTCATGTTTCCCAAAAGGGTCTACAAGAGCTCATGAATTTCAAAATCAATTCTGACTGACGTCATTCTGCTGCGAGTAGTATAGAATTTTGAGATGATTTACTTTCATGTTTTGCTGGATGCCGAAGAATGTATCTTTAGAAACCACCTTCTACGATGTCCCGTCGTTTATATCCTTATTCGATTCCACGTTCCTTTTTATTCTCGAAAGTTTCTTTTAACACTATTGTGGTTATATGTGGAGAACAGGCAAGTGAGCTATAGTATCCTAGGTTTCAAGTTACATTCTTTCCAAAAAGGGCCGTGTGTTCTCAGATGATGTCATGAAAACATCCATTGTATTTCATAATTTATAAGAGTCATTTGAACGTTTTATGTGTATGTATTTTGGTGTGCATATGTAACCATGTGGCACCACAGCAACATCCACAAATGATGAGTTCAATTTATTTACTTTGCAAATGAAAAATGATACTATAAACAGCAGATTCAGTTTTGAGCGTCACAAGCAGTAATTTAAATTGTGTGTGAATTCTGTGACAATAATTTACCACTATTAATCAAACGTCTGTATGTGTATGTCTGTGATAGCCATGCTAATTGACGAAATAAAAGTTAGACAATCATATTTGAAAATGTAAATATTGGTTGATTTGATTTATGTTTTAAATAGTGAATTTCCTCATTTGTATTACTCTTTTTTATGTTAGTGCAAAATTCGTAATAGTTTATCCATCTAAATATTCTCGAGAAAACCGCTTATAAATTAGATACATTTTAACCTACCATGTCAAATGTATTTATTGAACTCATCAAAGCATTTCATCGTTTAAATGTTTGTAAGCACGAAGACATCTCCTGAAATGGTTCAATACTTTATATATATATATATTGTAATTTATCGTAATTCTATGCAATTAAATATATTTGTTACCAAATCGATTGAACAATAAGTAAACATTTAATATTTTAAACTGAGAACGAACGGGATTTTTAGAAATAAAAGTCACTAGAATGTTATAATCCCATACTTTACTTCCTCGTTAATTTACCCCAAATAATTATTATTTTTGTTTTCCAATAAAATCGAATATGTATTGTCTCTTTCAAATAGTTTTTTACTCTTAATTGTGGGCAGTTCTCACTTTAGTTTATGACGATTAAAATATATATAATAGTTCATTAAGATTTAGCATATTAATTCTTAATTAATTCTTAAACAAGATACCATGGGTCGCGCATCGTTCCCCCTTCC